AACCTAGAAATGTTGACTGTTAAGATTCTTGAAAAAATATTTCATTAGAATGAGCTTCAATTGTGTTTCCCATTAGATAGTTTTCAGATTAATCAAGGGTAAAATGCAGTAATTGCCCACCTCTATGTGTAACATTTACATGCTTCCTGAAACAGTTTATACCTGACATATGGAGCGTGCTCATTCAAAGCGTATATTTGAATATTATCTAAGAAACATTAATACAGTTATCACTTCAATTTCTGAACGCTTTGTCAACTCTAATAACACAAACCGACCAGTGGTTTCTACAAATTTCTGTAGAAAATTAAACAGACTTTTGCAAAGTCAATACGGATCAGACCGATTCAATAACAGATCTGTATTCAGAAACGACACAACCAATCTTCCATTCTCTCATCGTTCCAATAATTCCTTATTTTATAAACTATTCTTAGCTGTTCGTTACCTGTTTGTTCCTTTTATAAAAACTTAGATTTTGATATTGAGAGTAATCCTCTGGAAGAAAGGAATCCTGTTAAAAAAATTTGAAAACTTAAAATCTAACAACACCTACTATGATGAGTTAAACAGAACCCAATACTCGTGACTATATGTTTGAATAAATAGCATTTGTGATTTGAGTTAACTTTTGATTGCTTATTATCATTGACACTGACCAAGTATCTATAAATCCGTCAACTCTGATAATGAAGATTATTTAAGAGATTCATATCTGCCCATCTAATTGATACTGGATATTAAGTAGGTGCCTTAATATGAATTATTAAAAATAATGAATCTATATAAATAATAATATTAGACGTACAAACGTATTCATTACTAACTTCCATTCGCATGAGCATAGGCTGCCGACCAGGATTCTCCAGTTAACTCTAATCTGAGTTCTCCTTTTCAGTTGTTCGCAATTGTCATTCGTTCGCAGCATGTTTTTTGGTCTACTCCTTTTTCTCTGGCCTAGAGGATTCCAAGTTAGGGTTCGCCTCAAGAGTCGGTTAGGTGATTTCTGTAATGTATGTTATATCCACCTTCAGCGCTTTTTCCTCATTCCTTGCCTAGTTGTTGCTTAGTGACCCGAAATCTGAATCCAATTTAGACGAACGATTAAATATCCTATGAAATAAATCTTTCCTTTAATTTCCACATAAGATTGTAAGGCAAACCCCATTTTTGGTTACTGAAAGCTTAATACAGTTTATTTTGGATGTATTTCATACATTCATTTAGTCAGAAAGACAATAAAGTGAATCCCAAAAGTTAAGTCAAAAATAAATCATCTAGACGTGTGATAAACGAAACAAGCAATACACGCACTCACTCAAGTAAAAACAACCAAGATTTTAAGCGAGCGTTTGACAAGGTCAAAAGACATGTGAATATTAGCTCAGGAAGAAAAAGCCGATCAGTTTAAAAGCTAGAACAAGTCATAGGCTCGACATATTAGTATACACTATTGCTTGGTCTGTCCCACAGCAGGTTGTTGCTAATGTTATCTGGGTAATGCATCCAAAGTATCTTTAGTAGAGTAGTGTCAATAAACACCAGTATATTTTAGATTATGGTTTTTGTAGTTCTCCAAGTTTCCGCTTCATACAAAGAATTGTCTTGACATTCATATTGAAAATTCTAACTTTCATTTTGGTTGACAGTTGTTTTCAGCTTTCGATGTCCTTCGATTGTTGAAATACAGCTCTTGTTTTACCAGTCAGTATTTGTACATCTTCACGTTGTTTATCAATGATGCTACCCAGGTATGTAAAAGTTTCTATATCTTCTAAAGTTTCTACATCAAGCGTGGTTCTGTGAGCGCCGAATATGTTGTATCAGAGGATCTTGCTTTTTGCGTTATGTTAAGACCTACTGCTGCAGAAGATGCTGATACACTGGTCATCTATAATTGCATTTGGAATAGAAGAGTTAAGTCATCTGTGAAGTCTAAATCGTTTAGCTGCATCTGAGCTGTCCTCCGTATTCTGTGCTTCCCCTAGGATATGAAGGTCTTTATAATCTAGTCAGTTACCAGAATAGAGATAAAAAGTGAGAGTGAGCAAACTTGTATGACATCGGTCTTTACTTGGAATGGATCTGTGAGTTGTCCTCCTCCTTCACAGTGTAGTCCGTCGTGAGAATTCCGTATGATACTGACTATCTTCTAACGTACACCGTAGAGTCGAAAAAGCCTCTATAGTGTTGACCTGTCCACGCTATCAAATGAGTACTCGTAGCAAATGAAATTGTTGTAAAATGATGCGTTTTATCCGATTGATTGTTCAACAATGATGTGTACTGTCACAATTTGATCGGTTTTACGATCAATCCTTACGGAATTCTGCTTGTTGGTCTCGATGTTGGGCGTCTATTGAATACTTCATTCTGTCTAACAACACTCTGTTGAAGATTTTTCCTGGTATCGATAACAGAGTGATGTCTTTGTAGTTCTTCAACTTTCTAAAATCTCATTTCTTTGATATCGTGATTAGGTGTCCATCATTCCAGTCTGTTGGTGCTTGTTATTCCTCTCAAATCTTGCTGAAGAGAACGTGGATTATTTTTGTAGTTACTACTAGGTCTGCTTTCAGCTGGAATGCTGTCTAATCCTGCTGCTTTGTCACTCTTGGTTTGTCTGATGGCCATGCTGATTTCTTTTAATATTGGTGGGTCAACATAATTTGGTAGGTCCATAGGTGCTGCTTCGATGTTAAGTGCGTTCAGTGAGGCTGGTCTGTTCAAGAGTTCCTCAACGTGCTCTACTCATATGGTTTGCTGTTTTCCAATGTCGATGATTACTTTGCCTAACTTGCCTTTCATTGGTTGTTCCGGTTCACTATATTTTTCAACAAGCTTCATCTTTCTGTCATATAGTTGTCTCATATTTCCTTCTCTTGTAGAGTTTTCTGTCATTATAAAACTTAAAACATAAACCTGACAACACTGTTGACAATGAAAAGTTATAATACTCACTAAATCTAACATTATCGATCAAGAATTCTTGTTTTTTTCTCTATTTCATTATGAAATTGAATTGAGAAACTTCCATTAATTTTATCATTGTATTGTTGTATAGATGCATTTAAAAATGTATTCATATTTTTTTTATGCATATTAATGTTGAATGTTAATAAATTGCATTGTAACTGATAGTTACATTGAAAAAAAGAAAGAGAATAATTGTTCAGTGTAAAACTGTATATTCATGTGAGGGCGAACATTCTGTATGGGAGAAAAGAATTTAGCCCAGTTAACTAGTGCTTTTAAAAGCATCAAAACAATAATAAAATAAAAATTCATTGATCATTTTATAATTTGTTCTATTTTATATGATAGATAGGTCATATCCGGAAATCTGTGCGTTTATATTTTTTAAACCCATTTTTTTTGCATCTTGAATTACTGTTAATTTAAAAAGGCTATAGTGAAATATACAATTCGACAAAAAAATCATTTTACGCTTGCTTACCTGACCAAATGAATATTGCTGTCATTCATTTTCTCTGTGACAACAAAGTAGAAGAAGATTAACCTAATTGTTCTCAGAGTTGAGTTAATAATTAAAGACGGTTAGTTAGGTTGGCTCCATTTAATTACAATAGACTGGAAAAGTTTGTTTGAATTCTGTTAGTGAAAAGTGACCGATCTTATGGACATCTAGTTTTAGTGTTGATTGGATTGCATCGACAACGTTGACTCAACATTTCAATATATATATATATATATACTTGAACTTTTATCAAAGTCTGTTCAAAAATAATTAGTTTCTAATTTTTTCAAGAGAGCTAATCAAGCATCACGAAATTAGTTTGAATGAAACTCAAGCAAAATAAGATACATTTTCGTAATTAAAAGACTTGATTATAATATTTCTGGTTAAATAAACTTGTCTATCAATCGTTATTTATTTTATAATAATAATAATCATGTAATTACTTATTAAAAAAAATTAATGTAACGAAGATAAGATAATTTCGTTATTACTAAGAATTAGATATTATCCCGTTGTCGATGATATTTAGGACTGTATTTAAATCTGTCTTTGTTAGCATAAGCCTAACACGTGTGAATTGCTTTGATACAGTTGGTTTTTGTTGCGAGTATAATGAAGAGATTAATATGAGACAAGAATAGTTATATCGAGACAGTCCATACGGAATGAATGAAATTATGCCTACAGGGAGAGATACATCTGGACTACTAACAGTCAGATAATTCAAATTTATCTTAATCACAGTGTAAGCATTAAATACATTCAACAAAGATCAGTAGTCCAGTAGATAAGGTGTTGGCATTTTGCATTGAAAGATTTCGTGCTTGATCCTCACTATAAACAACTGCACAAGGATGTAACTACATACACCAGAATCCGCAATGAGTTTGATTTACTAGCCATGAACTATTTATTTTATAAAAGTTGACTGATCGATAATGAATTACTGAAATCGCTATTCATTCGTTTTTTTTATGGTTTAACAAGCAACAATATAATTATTTTACTACTTTTACATTTGTATGTCGTTTTAATTTTGATTCCAGTGAAATATCATGACCTGTGAAGTTCAATTATGTTTGAAATGAGACAGGCATAACTAACTATTTAACATTAGATGAGACTATCTCACTACTATACGGTCAGATAAAATAATGTTGAATTCACTAGCTTTCAATCGATCTAAACTCAAATGTTTAACAATATCGCATTCCTCACTTTGCCTAAATGTGCGATTACTAGGTGTATTGAAGGCGCATAAATATCTTATGATGTTCTAAACTAAAACGTTATAATTATGTATTCATTGCTATCTCATTTCTTTTTCGATAATAACTTCAGGTAACACATCAATCTATGCTCAAAATCATTTCATCTCTGTAGACCAGTAAACCAAAATAAATATCATTGTTACGATACAGAAAAAAACATAAATAATATTGTTTCTTTACAAGACGAATAACTAATTATTTAGTATATATATATATTTCTGTCTTTATTATTACATAAGTAGAAAAATCTTGTTTTAAAAAAAAATTGAGGATACATACATGTGTGTTTATATATATTTATATATATATATGCATATTTTTTTAATCATAATATGTAAAAAAAAGTTAATCATTGTTAAAATCAACAAATTGAACAAAATTTCAATGAGACGCATAAAATGACCAGATTTCGTTTTGTATTGTGTTGCATTATTGGTCGGTTTTATTATTACTAATATTATCATTATTATTATTATTATTACATAACTATCAAAATTATAAGTTAGAAATGATAAAAAAAGAAACTCAAGAAAGAAAGTAAAAAAGAGACGATATGAAGGAAGAAAGAAAAGAAATCAATATGTTCATGTAGAATATCTGCACTTATTATTTTTTTCTGAACTTCAAAAAAAAAATTCATGTATTTCTTGAATAAAAAAACCAACAAACAGATGAGTTTAAATGACTAGAGTTGATAATATTTCTGATTGATTCAAAAGAAAGAAATTGCTAATATATATATATATGTATATATTACAGAAGATAATGACTTGTATAATCTTGGAACTGTATTTATCATTTCAAATGATTTGTACTAAATGAAATAAGTAAATAGGTTGGTTGATTGATGAATGCATTTGAAAATAATCTGTTACATGTTCAATTAGAGAATAATTAGAAAACACTTAAACAAATATATATTTATTTATATATATATATAGAATGTTATACAGAATGGAAGTGATTGTATTTGTTCATCATCATCATCATCACAATCATATGTGTTGATTAGGTTAAGTGGAGTCCAAGTGGATATTATGATATAGAATACAAATAATTTGAATTATCATCTTTCAAATGAAGTGGATGCCTGTCAATGAAATAAAAATCATGGAATTTTACAAAAGAATATCTATAAAATAATATATATAGATATATATCGTTGAAATTTAATTATTAATAAAATACTTGAACTGAATTCATGGAAAAATATCTCAACCATCATATAAGATATTAGCGAATAGGTTTATACTTGTTATGTAAGCCTTGAATTTTTTCATTACTTTAGAGGTTGGGTTGAATGAATCCACCAGACTGGGAAAATGCTAAATAATTTCGATAAACTTATATAACATTGATTTATAATCAATTGAAAATCAGCTTGATCCAGTTGATGAAAGCATAATTCACTAGGAGTCTAATCGTGTTTTCCTTTCATTTTTAGTAAAGTTAGGCAAATTAATACTATCATTATTGTGACAGTAATATACTTCTATTAAATCAGTTGATACAGTTTAATGAACTCATTTTGAAATGTTCTGATATATAACTGTGTATTGTAGAAATACGATCTTAAAAAAATGCTGTATATGATATTTTGTAACATTAAAATATCCATAAAAAAACTCATATGCAAATTGTACAATGAATTTCATCAAACATGTCAATTTCGATTTAAATATTCATTAATCAGTTATTAAATATCTTGTAAGATAAATAAGTAGGTAAACTGTCGCTATATATATATATATATATATATATATATATATATATATATATATATATATATATATATATATATATATATATAAGTGATATTAATCAAAGCAGTGGTTCCCTTTGATAAATTTGAACAGAGAAATGAGAAGACATATTTTGTGAGATAGTACCATTTCGTGCTTTCTCGTCAGTCCCATACAAGCAACATGTTATTCGTGTAAATACAGTTTTGAAGATAAGGTCAAAATTTCTTATTTAGCATGACATTCACTCACTAGAACCATGGTAAACAAAGGTCAATATACAGTTGTTTTTGAACACATAAAGTTGGACTTTTCAGACCAATCAAGATAGCTTCAAGTAGTTTGAGTGTGTATGGGTTTTGATGACATGTCACAAATCTAAAGGATGTTTTTGGGTCAATTTGATGATTACTCATCATTAGATGTTTTGCAATGGATGAGGCTGGGTTTCTTGATCGATCACGTTTATTTATTTCTGAAAGGCTTATTGAACAGCGAATACTTCTATGATTAGTAATACAATTACTGAGAATTAATTCCTCTCTTCGTTGCATTTCAATTAATCTGTGAAATTATTGACTATATGACATGCTTTATGATTATAATAATGCAACAAAATAATCCCATGAATCATCAATCAATATGTATAAGTAAATTGACAATGTGAGTGAGTAGTCGAATAGAATGATAGAAAATATATGCAAATTAGTAAAAAAAGACAATGATATTTCTGAATGAAAAAATCTAATTTTCATAGAATATAATAGTAATGGGATTAAAATGAAATTTGAATTTGAGTAAGTTTTCTAATTTGCTCAGCAAATCTTAAAATGAAATATTTAGTGCTTCAAATTTGTGTAGGGATGAATTCTATCAAAATAAAAACAATAATTACTTTACTTAATTTAGAATAAACCAACCATTTTCTCTCTTTGTTGATTATTTTTACACATATTGAAATATTTATTCAAAGTTCTCAATATATGAGTAAAAGAGAAAAATAGAAAAATTCATAAAAAGTAGTAATATATTCCAGCAAGAAAAATAATAATTGTAAAATAAGATTTTATTTTAAACCTAATGAATATGAAGGAATTAGAAAAAAAGAATTTATTGAACTTGAACTTTATATGCATTCAACAGTAGCTGAATAAAGTTGACCAAGACTGTTCATCATTTATGCCCTAATTCTTATGTGAGGCACTATTTAATATGATTTTTTGTCAATTTCACCTTCAGTTAATTTTCTTTTTATTCTGTTAAAACGATTTAAAGTAAAATGAACAAATCAAGTGGGATTGGGAGTATTTTTCAATGGTACATATATACCTGATAAATATCGACGATAGTTTGTAAAACAAGAGTAGAAAAAATAAATTTGATTCAAAATTCAATATTGTATAATAATTTATGAAAAATACAAATTCTCGCCTATCAGCTATTCACACATTCCTGTTTCTGCTTCATACTATGGTGATCTAACATTGGTCGATTCATGATTTCAAAATGTGTAACTTAATAGTTTTCACAACCCCGTAATGCAATTACCTGTGCTCACTAGTAACTAGCTTTGTGAGGAATCTTCTCCTAGTTCTAGTGGGAAGTCATGACCAGTGAAGTTCGACCTGCTCAGGAGTAAACGGTAACTACTGAAGAAAGTGTATGGAGGTTGCGCAACTCCGTGAATTGACAGAATTTAGAAGTTAGCACCGTTAGATACCAGCTCAACGGTCCATGGTCCTGGGTTCGAATCCTGCGAGGTACAGGAGTCGTGGATTCTACCTGCTGATGAGTCGCATACCAGGACGAAACGGCCCTCTAGTGCTTCCAGGTTTCTAATGATGGTCTAACACTGATCTATTCATGATTATAAATACTATGAACTATCAACCAAAAATGTACACCTATTAGATATTGATCTTGATCAATTATTTTTTATTTCTAGTGAAAAGTTGAAACAAATATGGTTTGCTCCTCATAAATGAGGGAATCATTTAGTACTTTAGGTAAAAATATATATACATATTTTGTAACTGGTTTGGTAGCGTTTATTAAAAAAACCGTTGAATCTTCGAGTTCATGTGATAACCGTAAAAGTTATTGCTTAAAACAAGAAAAATTTGAATAACATAGTGAAGATGAACATTATAACTACTAATTCAACTAAATAAACTCATTTTCGCAAACATTTTACTGTCACTTGATAATTAGTCAGTGAATATTGGAGAACATAGAAAATACTGAAAATAAAATGGACTGTTCTCCGCAAGTTGTCTATTATACTGAATGAATATCTAACAAATAAAGTGAATAACACACCCAGTAAATTGCGATCTGAATTAAGATATCATTACTTCTCGAATTATATGAAAGGTTAAGAAAGTTGTTATTCTCAAAATTCAATCGTAACATTTGACTCATGTTGCCTAATGCGATTTCCGTCAATTTAATACATCGTCATATGCATTTATTTACGTAGTAAATCGACGACGATGAGATTGAATGAAAATGTTATGTAGAATGCAAAAAACTTCAGTGCCAAGTGGGCTTCTTTTCATAAAAAATATTATTTGTATTTAAAAAATATATTAAAGACCGTAATAGATGAAAAAGCGAATAAAAACCTAGAATATTACTTCAAAAAACTTGTATCATACTGACTTATATTCTGTAATATTTTGAAAAGATTCTATTATATATAAATATATATATAATTTTGTTTCTAAACCCACTATTTTTATCATGGGTTAGACACACTGTATATCTAACTTATTCGGTTTTAAAATAACTTTTGTCCCTGTTTTTAAAATAGATCTCTTTGCAAGTACACATGTAACATTAAAAAAAAACATTTCATTCGATTGAACACCTGTCAAAGTTATAGTTTGTTTGCGCACAACTAATGTAAACATTCCTAATGAGGATGATAGAAGCTATATTATATTACAATTGAAAGTCGACTTACATAATATCTTCATTTTAAGAACAAGTGGGATTATTGATGTAGACATTTTTAAAAAAAATAGTCGTCTAATTCAATTTTGTTTCAAAACAGTTTAGTATATTAATGCATTGTCATCATCATCATCAACCTCGTTGAAATTAATGTATAAATATCTATGTCAGTCAGACAATAGTAGTTCAAAATCATTACTGCATAAACAGTTAAAACAACTTTTATCTTGTACACACATGACGCATATTCTTATTGAAAAATGGATTAGGGAATTTATTATTATAAATGATGACGTGTGAAATATAACCTATTATTATTTTGTAAATGAATTAGAAAATTGTTATCTGTCCGTAATAATCACCATGTATAAATATTCGTTAAAAATGAGCATAACATAAAGCTTCAAACAATAGAACAATAGTACACTATTTGCATGATGAGGAAAACAAAAAAACTAACTGTTAACTTTTAGCATATTAGTCGATAATATTACTGATTACAAATCTTAACGAATAGATACAACTGAGGCATGTAATCAGTTCTAGATTACTGGCTAATTAAGCAAAACACTTGAATTCGAATTATCATACTCCAGTTCTTTGTAAGCATTATGTTTATGTTTCGAAATAATACTATTTTGGTGTTGGAAGTAACTTAGAACTAATGAAGTTTCAATCACTACTCAGTCAACGTTTGTGAAGTATATTGTTTGTATTGAGTCAACAGAATAAATGCCATTGTCAATACAGTTATCACAATGATCCCGACTGAAAGTGGTCGATTGGATAGTATTCAATTGGATCAAACGCCATAAATTAACTGTAGGTGATTAAGAGTGTACCAAGTGATGAAGAATCGGATTTACACAAGCAGATGTCCTGTGATTTTTTATAAATGTTGTATTGTAGACTGTATAACTGTCCAACGTAATAAGCGATGACACATTATCAAGCCGAATATGTGATAGCTTCAAACAATAAATTTGTCACCAATTACAGCTGTGGGTTTTTGCTTCTAAGATACATTTAAATGGGTTAATTACACTAATCCTTTTCTCTAATTTGATAATAGTTGATCTATGGATGAAAAAACCCACGAAAATATGATCGCGTTCATCAATAGAAAATGTGAATTAAATGTTGAATTATACAGAATTCTTTATTTAAAAAGAGACTTCAGTAGTTTCTCTTTTACTGTATTTAAAAGCAAACGTTTCAAGTTCTATTCTCGTTGGCATTTTTAACTAGAACAGTTCAAGTTTCAAACGTCCAGTTCATTTTAAAAATACTAATTGATCATGCTTTTTCTTCGAACTGGTTTATAGATTAAATTATTTTTCACCAAAAGTGCTCTATTTATGAAAAAAAATTCATTCATTAAAAAAAACCGAACTGACTCAACAGCTTATGCAAACACGGTTTACGCTCCATAAATTTGAACGAAACAAGGAAATTAAGAAATGTTAATTAAAAAAAAACAACATAATTATCGATTTCCTCTTGAAAAATTGAAAATCCTTCAATCTTTATAACCCCTTTTTGATACTGATAATGACAGATGTCATCGAAGACAATGAACTTATTCAGTTCAACTATTACAATAAAATATGACAAAATTTATTACTTAGTACTTTTTATTTAGCTCAAATTCTATGAATCGTACTATTGAATTCAACTAGATAACATCTATGAGCATAGTTTTTACAGTGTTTTAATAACATACTTAAGAATAATAGTCGAAATTAATTGGTAGAATATCAGTTGATTGCTAGATCAATTATTCATTGTTGTAACACTACAGCAAACATAGAACAGTGTATGAATTTAGCAGAGAGTATAACCAACTACCTATAGGGATATTATTTTGAGTTATGTAAAGTCATTGGTAACTCCCATTTCTACAAATATGCACTACGCATTAAATTTATAGTATTTCAATTGAATAATTAACATGAATGTGAGTTTGACTATTGATGTATTCAGAAAATAGTCAATCTCAATCATATAAATACATACTACTGTTACACACAATTAAGTATCTTAAAAGTTTTGTACACGCATTAAAACAAACTGGAACGTGTAAAATAAGTGCCAAATAAAACAATGATAACTTATTATGCAGCCTACTACTACTAGCTTGCTAAAAATTGTCTATAATAAGCAAATTACACTGGCATAAAAGTAGTTGCACTTTATAAAAAAAAAATTCTATCTACTAATACATTTCTACAAATGTTAAGAAATTTGAGAAATGAAAGTTATGCAATCAAATCAATTTTGTTTTAGACATTGAAAAAAAAATTAATAATTTCAAAAAAAGCTTTTATTCACCAGACAGAAGCAAACAAAAAGACATACATTAAAGATGTAGTTGAATTAGATGTCATGAGGAAATAAATTTCTACTACAAAATTCAGTTGTACTTTATGCAGTAAAACTAACTAACATAGCTCAATTGTCATTTGAGAAAAATTCTACAATTACTTTGCTGTTACTTCCCTTTTTTCTAATACTCTTTATATACTGTCAAAATTAAAGATGATGATGTTGATAAATATAGAGTTGGTCGTTTGTAGTTTTTCTTTTCCCAATTTGTTACATTCGAAACAAAACACGTGTTGCATTGATGAGCCAAGCTAAATTGTGTATGTTTAGAAGTAGTAAGAAAGAAACTATGATCTTACGTTTTTTTTTTTATGTTAGGATATCTTGCTGACCAAATCCATTTATTTGTTAACAAAAAACAACATTGCAAACTCAGCTTAAAGTTACTTAAATTAATGGTCACACTGAAATTTGTATGATAATAAAATGTATTCAGCGATTGATCAATGCAAAAATGGTGGTTATCTATAAATTTTAAATTTTAGGCATTTTTTAAAGAGATATTTCTTCTTCGTGATATATTTATATATATACAGACATAGCATATTGTTTTCCAAATATATTTGATGAATTCATTAAATATATGAAAAATATTCCTTAATCTCGTTGTGATGTTTGCTACCAGTTTGATATGCTTGAAACTAATACGAGTTCACCTTAGTCGATAAGCGAGAGAGAAGACGAATCATCCAGTGATACGATAGGCTACTCTAATCTGAGCGTATCAAGGCCCCACTAAGTAGAGGACGAAATCTTGATATGGCGTAGAAAGTGTATTCTATAAGCACCCAGAGAATCGAGGTCGACAAGCATACAAATCGAGTTTATTTATACATCACAGAAATGTCCTCAGAAGAGCCACAAAAATAGCGTACTAAGAAAGTACATCAACCAGTAACAACCAAGGATTTTCCGTGTGGGAAATGTAATCTCTAGGTCAACTGATCAGCCCATGCTCGAAAACATTGGATTCAAAATTAGGACCTTTATCAAGTGAGTTCTGGGGATCTCAAATCCGCAACAATCGTTGGATTACAAAATGTTTTGAATAAGATTTAGTAAAGGTCTTTGGATAATACATCTCAAAAAAATTAATATTTTATCAATTATTCCTAATATTGCACATGATACTCATGTTATTTGCATTTGTTAATAATCCCAGCGAATGATCAATCATTTTTGCTATTTTCTAATCTATTTCATAACTGAAAATCTCATTGCGTATCAAGCGTTTCATATCCCCGGAAACATGCCAACGAATCAATAAGTTTAATAAACCGAAAATGTAAAATCCTTCGATGCGTTAAACGATCAATCTTTTTTCTTTTTTTTGAATGGATATAAGAAAAAATGTGAAAAAAATCATCTATCTCATTTAAAATAGAAATATGAATCGATCAATAAACGATTTGTTTATATATATATATATATATATATATATATATATATTCAGCAAGATTAATTTTTATGAAAACCATTTATAATTTCAAGTCAGTTCAACTCGAATACAACAATAATCATATACACCTATAATCTCTTCTCTTACCAAAAATGTAAAATGAATTGTAAACATTTCTGGATTACTTACATAATTACAATAAAAGCATACATTATATTATTCTAATAGCTATTTTATATATGTATGTATAGATGTTTGATCTTAATTCACTGGATTACAACTTTGACTGTGAATAAACTTTGGAAAATTATCTAGTTGGTGCTTATTAGATTGCATTAGAAATAGATTTTTAAACACACGTGGTGGAAGAGATTGTCATCAGTATGATTTAACGATTTCAGAATAAAAAATTTGGTGTCCGACTAACCATAGGTTTAACTGCACTTATAGCTAAAATTGAAAGCTATAATGAGTGATCTGGGATCACTTCAAATTATGACGAAATTTGACCTTATGTATGGTGTACTTTTAAAATTTCTGGGAATACTGAATATCTTTTTAGTAATAATAATATGAAGTTCCTCAGAAGATCCAACTGGCGAATTGTGTAAGAATCAAACCCAGGACTTTCTGGTTTCACAGTAAACCTTCAACTATTCAAACTACCGAATCTGTATTAGAAAGTTCATTGCCTACTCCAGTTAATTTTTGCAATGATATAAATGAAATCATTCTCTGAAGAATATTGACTACAAATTTAACTAGTTTCCAGACAACTCATTTAGATGAAATATAATGAGAGAAAAAAGCATTTTTTATCATTTATAAAGTACCTAGCTATATTCAAGACTAATAAACTATTATTCATTTTGAATAGTGAAAATGTATTAATAAAAACCTGCAATTGTAAGTGTTTGTAGTAAATTTATATTTCTTTTATTTTTTTAACAACAATGAATCAATAATCTCTCATGTCATTCAATTTTTAAATTGTTTAATAAAAACTGCTTGAATGTAATTATTTAATAATATGTCATAGTAACATAGAATGTAACCTTTCATTTCAATATGATTTTAATAGTCAATAAGTTTTTGTAAGCGAAAAAAAATACCAGATGGTAACATCTTAGTGATGCTATAATGAATAAGACATGACTAACCTGAAATGTATAAGAAAAGAAGGTAATTAAAAAGGAGGAGGGGATCATATAACGTATGTTCTATCAGAGTTAACAAATTGAAATGTTCCTATGATCATTGTGAAATAGAATATACCATAATGAAATCCAGTGATCTGTGTATTTTAATTTTTCAAAGTGAAATTCTATTTCATTGTTGAATCATGAACAAATATCTAAGATAAACATTCAAAAGGATATATCAACTACTCTGTTACACCACTACGATCCAGAGCAGCTTGAAGGTAATTTAAGAAAAAAATGTCTACATTGGTTATTGAACAGAAATTAGTCAATTCGATTTTGCGATCATGTATCATCATTATTGTTTATGATTAAAATCTGAACTAATTATGATTGGTTGGCTCTTTGAAATGTTTCTCATTTACTGTCACTTGACTTGTAGATTTTAATTATTTTAACAAAATAAAAGCAAAAAAAATAGTGTCAATCGTTAATATATTCACTCATTCTGTTTCAAACTGACTTAACCAAAACTTACTATTCTTTCATTGTTTGTTTCATTGATTGATACTAAATGATATTTTGATGAATTATGATCAGGATTTACATTTGACGAATGAGTTCGTTCAATGCTGGATGAAAATGATAATTTTGTTTGATCTACTCTATTCAAATGACGTCTTCTACGATGACAAAATGTTGAAATTTTACGTAGACGTGGCAGAAACGATTTCCGTCTGAAAGAGAATTATTATTAAAATCAATTATAATTATTAGTATAAAGTTAATAATAGATAATAAGCAAAATGAAACAAATGTGCTTTCTAAATCACTGGACATTTCTCACACCTAGTAGTATTTTGTACTTCACATGTTTGTAAAATTTACTTGAAACAGAGAATATATTTTAAAAAATATTAAAATATAAATTTTATTGGAAAAACGAAACAAAATTGTTTGAGCATACCAGTAGTCAAAGACTATGGTATTTTGTGTTAACCACATACAAATCAAAGAGAATACACATCACAATCTAGCGAATGTTAGTTTACTTTAAACAGTTTCGTAAGTATAATTAAACATGATTTTTATAAGAAATAGTGTCACAAGAAAATTAGCATCAGATAAACTTTGACATGTTAGTAAATGTGTGATGAACAAATAATCTATTCAGATGTATTTAAAACAAATACCATAATGAAAGTTATAATGACGTTCGTCAAAAGTATAGTTTTTAGGTAATTCGGAATCATTTGATTTTCTTCTGACTGTAAAATTTGTAGTCGGCTTTGAAATATTCTTTTGTTTAAATTTCCACTTTTACTAGAGGATGTCATACTGCGACGTCAAAGGATGAAGTTGCTACAAAAATATGAAAGCTGGATTCAAACGTGACCTAAGTAGTGTGCCTTTTTTAAACAACCATCAACCAAGTTTCTCAGCAACTGTGCTCCCGCAAAGATTTAAAAAATATCTTTGAATACTGCATTTACTTATATTATCAACGGAATAAACAGTAATTGGTAAGTAAATTTTCATCTCCATTTCAGAAATATGAAATATGTTAAGTTTCACAAGAATTGTGTAAAAACATTCGACAAAAATGATTGAAATAAAATTGGCCTCTGTTCAATGTAAACAAATTAACATATATTACTTGAGTCAAAATTAGCTTGATTTAAAATGTGATTTTATGATAAAACATCGTTTTTTTCTATGAACTGAATTCAATCAGTACAATAAAATGAGATTTAAACTGTAAGGAAAAAAAATTAGCTAAAGTATGCTAATACCGGTGAGGGTAGAGGACACTCATAGGCTATTAGTATTCCCCTATAGATGTCTTCGAAGCATTGCCCGTGTATCATGGGACAACCGAGTAAGTAATGCTGTCGTTAAGAAATGAGTACTAGGTAGGGATGTCAGGTCAGCTGATGAAGTATTGAAACTCTATCAGTTGAGATGTTTGGGACATGTGTTACGAATGCTCAACCATCGACTGCCTCGACGAGCTATGTTTTGTGGTGAGGGAGTAGGTCGGAAGAAAGCTGGAGGCGGCCAAAACAAAGCATGGTAGAAATTCATGAAATCCCTGACAGGTGGACTGAGTGATGTTGGTAGATGTAGGCTACCTAGTTGGGGTCCACAAGACGAGAGTCACCAATGGTTAGAGACCTTGAACAACATGGACAGAATCGTATGCGATGGTGCAGTTGCATCCAATCTTTTGGTTCGCTCAAATTCAAATCTTCAGAATCGCTAATCATCTCTATCCTTCTCTTTCTATATTTATCTCACTGAATTACGCTCCTTGAATAATATCTTCGAACCCTAATCTTCTCCTTTGCTGCTTATATTTCTACTATCTCTATCACTATGTGATGTGAACTGACAGTTGCGTCTATGTGCTAATGCGGTATAGGTTAACTAACGTCTATTGGCGCGAAAACATGAAAATTCAAAATTTCAGAAATAAATTACAAAATTGGGACTCTTGCCAAGTGAATTCTTAGGATCTAACGTCCCCAGCAGTCAATCTTCAAAAAAAAAATCAAATTTCTATCTCTTGAGCTTAATTTTCATTTAGTTAATGTTTATGATGATTAAATAAATTCGGTTATATACACTGAAATAAATCTTTGCAATTAGATGACAAAAAATACATATATATATATATATATATATATATATATATATATATATATATATATAATGTTTTTAAACTGTTTAATGATGAATCCTGTCATTATTAATAAATTGCACGTTAATAAAAATTGACAAGTTTGGTGAAAAACAGAAAACATTATGACAAACGATTTGCATAACTTTTATTAAACAAATAATGAGTTTTATTGGACAATGAATTTGTCGTTTAAAGCAATTTAAATTTAATTTGAATTTTAGCAAACAGTCAAGGCTCTTATTGATACGGTACTCATTGTCATGCTGATGAACGGCTAAGCGTTCACCATTCTTCAATATAAAATTCTTTTACCCAAAAATAGTTGTTAGAATTTTAAAAGATGCTTTTGTAAAAAACGGTAGGAAACTCCTCATAATTATAAGAATATTAATAGTGTTAAATCACATTATTTTTCGAGTTAAGTCATCTAGTACTTGTGTTGACTAACAGAGAAGTTAACATATATGATAATAATGAAACTGGTTGTCAACTTTTTTATTTCACACACAGTTAATTTACTCTGGGTTTCTGTCTCTTCAGTCATAGTGAAGGTTTCACGAAAATTCAAACTTTCACAATTAGTTCCCTAAATTTAAATATGGACAATCATGTAAAAATGTGTGTATAGTTGTGTAATAAGCAAAACAGAAATTTTTTACTGAAATCACAAACTGATCAATATCAGACCATCATGAGAAACCTGGAAGCTCACGACGGCCGTTCCGTCCATATTTGGGACTCCTCAGCAGCGAGTATTCACAAGCTCAGTAGATCCTTGGTTCGATTCCTCCTTGAAACGTCATTGATGTGCACTGTTGAATAGTCTTGTACTCAACTAAAGGCCATCCAGTGTTTCGATTGGTAGTCTAACACTAAACCATCTATGATTTAAATGAAACTCAACAATCTCTACAACCCTTTACTGAGAAATCTATTTGATTGATTTTCGTTTCAGTCCTACATTCTTCTTTTTATCAAAATGTTATAATTCAGTCATAAACATTTCGGCTATAGAAGAAAAATATTCAATGAGGATAATACAGAGAACCATATTCATAATAATAGTTAGTTTAAAGAATTATATTGATGATTTTAAGGATAGTATCTATTTTAATTAGATTCAAAGAAGTATATTCAACTACAGTTCTTGGAAGTTCAAGTCGATTGTAAGAGATTTTCTTTCAGTTTCCTCTTAAAATGAAAAATATGTGTCTGGCAGTAATATAAAATTAATTAACAACCAATTTATGATAACTGACATTAATATCATTTTATTAACCTGTTTTTTTTTTCTATGGCAAAAGCAGACATAAAAATTTATTTAGAATATTTATTTGTCATAAACCATTTTGATTTTTTTTAAAAAAGAAATATAAAACACATTCAATGAAAACTAAGTTTTAAAAGGTTAATTTTATCAACACATTTGATCAAGCATCATCTACTTGTTCTATTCTGGTAAGAACATTTTAAGACATTCAGCATTATATAGTTACTTGAGAAATGTTAATAACATTTTAGACTGTTAAATTAGAATTCAACGTGACCTACAAGTTATTTTCCATCTATTGACTGTGTTGATTTAATTACTATGATAAAATTTCATAACGACATAAACGAACACTTTCACAACGCCGAATTTCTACAAGATAGGATGTTGTATGGACCGAATAGTTTTAAAAGTTTCACATCACCATTTGACTTTACTCAAACAACCATTTAAACTCAGGACGTACTGAACACCATTATGGAACTCTTCAATATCTCAGACTGAAAAGCTCACCATGGTAATTAAATAGGTTATAGAAGGTCGCCGTTGATGGTTATATAAGTTTATTCAGTTATGTAAAAGTGTGAAACTTTGTGCATCTGTTATATTCGCAAGTATATATATATATATATATATATATATATATATATATATATATATGGTTCTATATGTTTATATATGGATGGTAAGCAGCTAATGATGACAGAATGCCAGTTTGATTGATTTAATCGATCAATGGTTTTCATGAAAACTCTTAGTGACATTTCAGACAAATAGTAGTTTGTTGGGAATCGTTATCTTAGTGTATAAATGTTATTTTTTAGATCTGCCACGGTCTAATTTCAATAATAATAATAATAATTTAAAAGCAAATTTGATGATGCTTATTAGTTTTATTTCTAGATATGGGTTTTTTTAAAGCACATGCAATCAACAGACGATAAATTTTAGTTAATCAACTATAGCGTTTCACTTTTGACTAGGTAAGTTTCCCATCATTTAAAACTGACTTAGAATATCCCTCTGTGAAGTAGTGTGAATAGAAAAGTTATTTAGACAATATCATGAGAATCAATGTTAGACTATTCTTAGAATTATGGAAGTGCTGGACGGTTGTATCGTCCTAGTTCATTGATCAGTCGAAATTGAATTTATAAATTTTACTGTATAAGAAAAGAATGATGTTCTTCATTTGTCTGCAATCTTTAATTAAGTTAGTCATTATGATCTTATAAACATTGATAGTGCATGCCTGTATAATTCACTTCTCCTCTTGATGCCAACATTGAATCCATCGGTATTTATGTGTTATGCATCTGCAGACAAGTTAGAAATCAGAATCATACATTTTCAGTCAATAGAATGTGTATGAAGAATTAAATATTTCAACTGTCTTCGAAAATTTTGATTATATTCGCCATAAATCAAGTTCAACATACATTCTACAATTCGCATACAATCTTAGTAAATATTCTTCTGTCATCTTATGGTATATCACAGACTGACAAAAAAGTCAAACTGTCTTTTCAAATCGAAATTTCCTAATAGCAACTTTACAAAAAATTCGTTTCGAAACTTTTATGCCTTGAAGAAAACGTTCCACCCTCAAATCACCTAGTTCACACTACTTGATTGACATTCGTGACAACAATCAACGTGGTGAATTGTGTGTCTACCAAATAAATACTGACAGTAATTGTCGTTGATATTAAATATTTACAATGCTCATTAGCGACTTGCATCTAGGATAAATGCATGGGGCTGCAGTAAGATAACATGACTGGCTACCTTACTGCTTACTTCTTCTATTCGAATTTCATTTGAAAACAAAACATATAACTACATTTATGGATATGTACGAACTACAGTGAGTATAGATACGCTAAATCTGTTTATATAAATTATTTAAAATAATCTCTCGGATAAATTTATCAGAGTCAAGACAAAAATAAGTTCTTAATAACCTATCTCTTAAATTTTCTTTGACAACACAATCAAACTAAATGTATTGAAAGATAAGAAACATAACTAATCATTCAGATATTTTTATCAATGAAATGATTACGTTTGATAATGTTATCTGTAACCTTATAAATTAATGTTAGATTGCAAATTCTAAACTAAACAAGTTTAGAAGATGAAAAATGTACGTTTGTTTGTTAGTGAAATACCATCAAACATTTTTTATGGGGATTTTTCACAAAATGATGCGTTATATTAATTAACACTTGACATCGACTAAAGAAAAACAGTTCTCATTTGGAACGAAACGTATATTTAGTAAGGATAAGTTTGATCAACTTATTTGGTAGACATTGTTTTTTTACAGATAAATATATAAATTCAAAAGAAATAGAAGATAACTGGGAAAATACAACTCAATGAAACTCTTACTGTATTCATCTAAAAATACATTTGATATGCACTTAACAAATATTGACTTAAACAACAAACATTTACTAATCAAAAGTCAATATTTACATTCTATTAATATACATATATATTAAATAAATACAAGCGTACATTCAAATTCAATTGACTTACAATAAATTAAATTAAATTAAAAAAATAAGAGGGAAGAAAAACAATGAATTGTCAATAGTTAAACAGTTTATTTTGATGAATATGAGTTCGTTTATTTGTTTAAAACTTCACTAGTTTATTATAAAGAATGAAAAATTAAAGAAAAATTATTTTGGACCGCTATTCATATTACTAGTTTACTAGAAAATATTGAAGGCGTTTGACAAAAAGTAAAAAACTAGAGATCTTATTTCAGATAAATATATATCAACTTATTCGAAAAATATTTGATTTTAACTAACAGTAAACAGTATTAATAAATATTAATCAAAGTGGTCAATAAATCATCTTTGAGATCCATAAAAAACTTTCATTTGTTATGTGAAAAAAAAACTAATTCTATCTACAAACATTGTTCATGTTATCAAAATGGACAAAGGCATTAGAGCCCACATTAAATAGTCACAAAAAGAAAGTTAAGCCATAGGGTCAATCTATTTGTGCAGATCGAAATGTAATTGATCAGAATGTAATGAAAGCTAATTTGTTTATTATTTAGGTTTATGACTAAAGTTGGTGATGGAGGTGGGATTCAGTTAGCTCAAATTCAGGCGCATCACACAGCAACCATCCTACTCCATGTAACTCAACATAGCGGCTATTCCACATCGTGTAACTCAGCCTTATAGAAATACAGGTACCGGAAGCACTGAGGACAGTGCTTTTCTATCATGGGGAGCCATGTAACGCATTCGAAACTTAACTCTATCGACTCCTAGTTTCGTTTATCAGTTTGTCTTAATCTTATGCTGGCTTTATATCTGGTTGCTGCCTATTTATTCGTATATTGCATGTAAGTGCATTATATGTGCTTACTGAGTCGTCTGCTCATCTTTTGCGCTTGTTCTTTCTTCCCCTAGATAATCTCATACGCTGCTCCTCACATCCCCCCTAGCACCCAAGGTACCTACTGGTTAGATGCAAATCAACCAAAGGCTGAGGTTACACATGAGTGTGATCTAAATAGTTTGACTGCAATTTTTTTCTGGTTACAGTTCTATAATGTGAGTAACCTAGAGTAAACGCTACAAATGAATTATCTGTTACCGCATAACACTTCTTCACTTTTCTTCGTGACAAGATTATCGCGAACAGTTTAGTCTTTCAAAAAAAACGATGACAACTTTTTCAAGACAATCCATCAGGAAACCAAAAAAAATATTTCACTAGTTTTCTTAGTTTTATTTTTTTTTTAAAAAATCAGAATATTGTTTATTTTTTAATAAACGGAAAAACAAAACCATAACAATGTTTCACTTATAATAAATTTTACTCGATTAAAAAAAAACTTATTGATGAACATGAAACAAAAAAAATTGTAAAAAAAACAAAATAGATTCTGACTCTATGGATAAATTTGTATTCAATAAAAAGCATGCTACATTATTGTATTGTATTTATTTCTGTATTTAAAATTATGAAAAAAAGAAAACAATTAAGTTTAATAAAACGGAACATCATAGAACATGTCGATCAAATATTATTTGAATAGTAGAATGAAAAAAATCAATATGTAAGAAATAGAATCAGGTTATATAGTTGTATGTAGCATATTTTTTTCAATTCATACTGTATCTGCGTATTAGTTAACTTAAGAATGCAGTTAGATCTTGCTGACAAGTCCAAAATGACACGAAGTATTCGTGAAGGGTTATTCGTCAACTACATACACAATACTACTTTACTTATTCAGCACCATAAGTTTATCGATTACTGATCTTCTCCTATTTGAAATATTTTCAAATTTTATTTGACTGTCATCATTCCTATGTAACATCACTGTGTAACTTATTTGTAGATTTCATAAAATGTTACAAAATAATCTCATCAGTCAAATAAATCAATCTGATTGTTACTGTTATTACCAGATGATGTTAGTGTAAAGAATCCTAAAAAGTTAACTCAAACATTTTAAAACAAAAAAAGAAATCTTATCTAACTAGCTTTAGTCTATAATATTGTATTTAGCTAGCAAACCATTGGATTGGTACATTAAAAGTTGCCATCAAATGTTAAACTAAACATGAGAAAACTCACCTCACTGGTATTGGTTTTATTGGTTGACTTTCTAGTTCACCAGAACTACTTTTACTGATCAAAGTTTGATGCCTTTGTAAAGTTTTCCCGCTAGTTTTGGATTTTGTATTTGTTATTCGATTATTGCTTCCAATTAGTGATAGTGCATTAGTTTCAGCAACTTCTAAACCCTATGTATGATAAAGTAAAATAACATGAGTTAATAAATCGGTAGATTTAAGTAATTTGGTTTCTTCTTTAATTGTTCAATAATCCTTATTAAACTGGACAGTGAAATAGCCCTTATATTCAGTAACTGACGTTATCCATTCCGTTTTCAACATTCATTAAATATGTAGACTCCATCAAGTTTTACATTCCGTTTACTTAATAAATAACTAATGCATATAAGGATGTAATTACTATCAAAGACTTGATTTTAAACACTAATGTTCTATCAGGCATATTGGGCTGTGCTACGCAGATAGTTTGAATCGACTCCGTACACTTAAAACATTTTCTCTAGTTGAGAAAATGACAGTCTGATATTCAGCAGTCACTTATCAACTGGGAGGGGGGGGGGAATAAATGATATATCTTGTCAATACACCTTTGTTGAACCAAAAAAACACATTGACGATGACCGGAGATTATTTAGCGAAATCTCTATTTGAATCAATTACTCAGACATTTTAGTATAAATTAACTTTTTGAGTCTTTAATATATTTCACATTTTATTTCTGTACTGATTAACTATAGTTTTGATTTGATGAATAATTATTACAAAAATTAATCGAAATTCTAGGGTAATTAATCTATAAATATTTTTACTGAATGGTATACAGTAGCTAAAACAAAAATCACATTTTTGTTAGCGACAATAGAATTCATAAAGTCACAAATCATTGTCATCTGTCTGAGAATTGATCTCATTAATTTTTTTATTCTTTTGATTCATGTGATAATATTTATTGATATTATAGGAGAAGATAATGATGGTGTCAGAACTAATTGTTTATGCGGATATAAAATGTTTTATATATTTTTCATAATTTATTGTTTACAAATAGTTACATAAGCTTGAATGCAGTTTTGCTATTTGAAAAATACAATATATCTATCGGTAATTAGTATTCGGTTTATATTATCCTAGTTGTAAGATTAAAACAGTAGAATCAGAATCAGCTAGTGAAACATGAATTAGATGTATATATATCTATGTTTGTAAATTACAGAAGGATTTGATTCATTCCAGTGAAGTAGATAAACTTCAGCCAATAGTAGTGTGATTGTAAAATCCATTTTTTCGAAGGCTTTGTTTGTGAAAATCCCTTCATGTATACATTTGTAATTTGTCCCTAATGATTCCTTCAGTTGTACATTTTGTTAGTCTGTTCGATTTCATTTTGAGATGATAATATTTATATTTTATTATAGTTTCTATTTCTTTTACCTTCACTCAGTTTATATGTTTCTTTATGAATGGCATTTATGTTGTTAAAGCTGATGCTTAGTCATCGCAACAGCCATATTGATTTGTTCCTCTTTTGATTGTGTTGCTCGCTTGGACTGGAATTGTGCATTTTGATTGTGAATTGAAGTATTCTTCCAGAATAGGAAACATTCTGTGTTACAAAGCAACTAAATATTATCTGTCAAACGAATCTGATCTATCCAGGAGGGATAGAGTATCATTTATCTGCTGTGGATTTGATTGATTGAACAATTGTTGGTGGAATAACTGAGTGGTAATATTGTTTAGGTAATGATCCCTATTTATACTTATGATGAATATTAGAACCGTCATTTACCCAAATCACTTGTTTTGGATTGAAACTGAGCGATGCGCATATCTAAACTACCTAGACAGTTATTCTTCAGTCCAAACATCAGTTTGGATCGTACAGTGATTATGAATTTAAAAAATGTCAATAAATCTAGTTATTTTCAATTGTTAGTTAATTGGCAAAGAATACAGAGATCCTTTAATTTTTTGTGTATATTCTAGGTAATATGCATGTTGAATAATTTAATAACTGATTTCCCCTTAAATGATAAAATGTTTCCTTTTAGTTTAAAAGGAGTCATTTTATCAGATCTGCTGTGTGTAGTGTTCTCTAATCGATAGAAAACTAAAAACCCTTATAAAACACAGTCACATTTATAGAATAAGTTAATGGCTACCTCCACTTAGTGGCGCAAGAGAAAGCGTGTTAGGCATTCGAATTAAAAATGTACCGGCTGAAGTCTCAGTGTGCACTTTAACAAAATCAGAGCTTAGGTACACCCTACTAGCAAGTCTTAAATAGGTTGACGTTTAGCGTTCTCGATCCCTTTAAGAACCATATACGAATTAAAAGTTAAAAAAACAAGCTTACCGTTGTTTGTTGTAAACAATCAATTAGATGATAGTATTGTTGTTCAAATAAATCATGAATCTCTTCAGTATCTTCTTCTTCAATTGGACCATCACTTTTTGCACCTGCTTCATCGATTTTTCTTATTTTATATTCTTCATCTTGTCTATGTGAAATATCTACATTACTTTGTTGTTGTTGTTGCTCGTCTTCGCCAATTTTATACTTTCTTAATTCAACAAGTTGAAGATGATTTGTTTCGTTTTGTACAATATCATTTTGTTCTTGACTATTTTCTTCTTTTATCAACGCATTTACATTTGATTTATGACATTCTGATAATTTTCGATTTTTGTATCGTTTTTTACCTTCGGAAAATGCATTTTCCGCAACTGCTTTCATTTCGGTTAAGCGAGACAATCTAGCTTTCTAGAATGATGTAGCAAATTTTTATTTCAAGCAAGAAAAAACACAATATAAAACGTTGTAATAATAACAATAATAAAATGAAGTTTGGCTATAAATATATATATATGTATATATATATAAATTGGATAAAATATATTAGAAGAATTTGAAAACGAACAATTTTTTTTCGGGAATAAAGCAGACTTTTTTTCAATGGCGTCTGTAGGTTGCCTAATATAAAATTATCACATTCACGACCAATATGATAACAAAAGCCTATTTGTAAATATGAATGTATGATACCTTTTTTACAACATATTCATATAAGGCGATTATATGTATGTGTATATGTATGTATATAACACGAATAGATGACTAGTTATTAGTGGCAGTAAAAAAAAATATAAAAGCAAAACCACTAGTCACATTTGTTTTTAATGACAAGATTAATCAAAGTTGTCAGAAGTGACAGTTCACTTCTTCGAGTTTTAAAAATAAATCCAAATCATGTAGAAAGTCTGTTTATTTTTCTATTTCATCTGTTGTATTGCCACCATCATTAAAGGAAACTTACTTCAAACTAAACTAATCGAGAAAAAATGTGGTACTTTGCCTTTTTCGATCGATGAGATGGAATGATTATTTTTTTGCATATATATTAAACAAATGTAATATTTTTTTATTTTCCGAAATACATTTTCGAATGCAGAACACTATGGATCGGTGCCTAATGTGTTTCTACCATCATAATACTGATCACCTACTTCTATTACTTTGATGGCATATGATCAGTTTTTTATCGATAGATATTTTGTCTTATAGTCATTAGTAAACTGAAAACTCCTACACCACTTCTTTAAGAATATCTCTAAATATTCTGATATATATATGTATATATAAATTACACAAAAACTGCAAAACTCAGCTATATCATGAGAGAACTAATTTTGATTAGTAATTGCAGACAAATTCGATAGAATGCCTTAATGCACTACTGTTTTTCTTGTACTCACAAAGTTATAGACTGTTGTTAAACTCTTACTCTTATCTCTTGGGTAATGAAAACATAAAAAAAAATTGTTCAACAATTCCAATCGTTTAACTGATCGTTATAAAAACATAAATTATAATTTAACATAAACATAAACTTTCTTTTTCTACAAAAAATAAAGATACTAATCACTTGAAGAGAAAAAAAATAATTTAGCCTACAACTTGAAAATTCCAAATTATACAAATATATATATATATATATTTGAAATTTAGTTCAGGTCAAGTTTCCTGTTTCATATTGATTAATATTTATGGAAGAAAATGATTGATAGATTGAGGTGTAGTAGATGAATGATATATTCAGTCATTGTGATAAATTCCCATGTAAATCGATAAGCATGTTCGAAATAATGTGAATTTGTCAACAACAACAACAACAGCAACAACATAATCGATACATGGGAAAAAAAATGCTTATATTTGGCATTTATTCTCAAGAAATTAAAAAAAAAAACGGTGATCAGTAACAAAAAGGGATATAAAAGAGTAAACATCGATTAATAATCATTATGATATGGGAATCAAGCTGAACTTTGACGACTTAAGTCACTCACATGCAGCAGTCACTACCTTCAAACGGTTCAATTTTTTTCTGGAATAATTATTTATTTATGTAGAAAATTAATTGCTTTCTAAAGAAATCAGTTGAGTTAAGCAGTCACATTGAATCGCATCATCTCAACATGAAATGAAATCTGTCTAAATAATCTGTGTTAGATTTGAATGATAAATCACATCTAACTAACCATATTGTTGTAGTCCAGTAGTAGCTGTTGAGCATACTGAAGTAGACGTAATTTAATGTGTGATAGGGTTTTTTTTATTTTCACTACAAAACTTTATTAAAAAGTGTTGAATATCTTTTTTTTCATACTACTTCTAAATAAAATATTTTTTATTTGTTTCCTAACTTAAGTATACTTGAGCAGAAAAAAAACCCGTTTCAAATTCATCAATACAACTAAGTGATTAATAGTCAGCGCATGAATTTTATTTTAATTTTAAGGTGTCTGAGTGGACAACCAATTAATTGTAGTTGTTTTTGATTCGTTAACAGAAAATCATGTGTTTTTTTGTTGTTCATTAATTGTACCAAATACAGCTTACATACTTAGTTCGAAACTAATAGTGTTTTTTAAATAGAAGCTTATAGTTATTTTGTGTATATATCAGTGATTAGATTGTGTAATGTGTACTTTAGGTTTGTAAATATTATCATTTCCAGGTCATTATTATGCAACAGTTTTTAGACAATTTAGCTTACTGATCAAACAGAACATAACAGGTTAATTGAATACAGTAAATGATCGAACAAGGCATATAGAAGTTGAAAAGCCGACTACGATCTAGATGCTGACTTTGATTGTTTCTTTCAAAGTGAATAGATCATGTATTACGAGTAGTAGAGGTACTTTTGTGTAGATGCTCAAACTGTTTAAAATCTTTGAGAACAATAATTTGTTAACATCAAAATGTATAAATACCAGAGTTAAAAGTATCAAATACCCAATTCTAACATTTATTTTATATCAACAGTTTTACTAAACAACAACCATATGTCTTTGAAATTTTATCAAAACATTAATCCTAATATTAAGCATTCACTTTTGATCGCAGTGTTCAACCTTAGTTCTTTTGCTTTAAGCTTTAATCAGAAACAGTAAACAAAAAACTCTTAATAATTTATTTCTGAATATTAAAGATTCCTATTGTGAAAATTAAAACAACACATACATAAGCGAACAAATAACCAACAAATACAGGATGTGAAAATAATGCTAATGATAACAAAATAAAATTAAAAAAAATTTTAAACGTTAGCTAAGTTATATCCGGCCACGGATGAGATATGGGTGTCACGATATTCTTCTAAACCCATAAATTGGTGTTGAATGTACGAATTCCTACAGCTTCTGCTATGTGTAGGAAATGGGATCGAACTCCTTTTGGAAATGATGAACGTATTTGGTAGATCACCCGAAAAGATCTAGACTTATCTACAATATGACTAATATCAATTAGATGTGCTAAGATAGAACTGCGTATTGTTTTTATCTGGCCCTTCATAAACCACACTGGGAGATGTTCACTCAATGTTAGTTAAGTTGTCTAGTAGTAGACTCAAATAGCCTTGATTGGTTTAACATTTTCATATAAATGTTCATGTATATTAGAGTAAAGCCTCATTGCGATCTAATCGAAAACAATATTTATTTCTGTCACTGTGAAAGTTCGAGGAAACGGATAATTCACAACCATATTCATAAATTCGTGTATCAATACTTTTTCTATTTATATAGGAAAAAAAATTCACAAAAGATTTCAATAGATTAATCAGTTATTTAAAAAATTTGTTCATCTTTGATAATCTTTCCAATTATTGAAGCTGTTTTCTGATTCAACAACAACGGACATAAAAATATCACAGTTGTTTGAAGCTCATTAAATTTTGTCGATGATCAAAAATTAGATACTGTTTGCTTTTCTTTCAGTTTTTTGTATAAACGTTTTGTTTATATACATATATAATTCATTTTAATTGCAACCACTTTGACTGGTTGACTGATTGATTGATGTTATAAGAGAGAGAACACTTTGATTTCACTCAAGACAATTAATTGTTAGTGTTTCAAGTGTTATCATAAAATAAAACAATAGACATTAAAAGTTATCATTTATTTTTCTGAACATTATAAACACTATCTAATATGGGCAAGAATAAATCTGACAACAATTAAAGATAATGAGTATAAGAGACTACTTAAATCTGGGGAAAAAAACTGTAGACTAAGTAATCTTCAATTCAAATCAACAACAATTTACATCATACAAGGACTTTATCATTTTATTTTTCAAAAAAAAAAACTTAAACGCTAATGAGATGATAAGATGACTACTACCAATCTACTTGAAACTTTGAAATTAATTATTTTCCTTTATATATATATTCATTGTAATATTCAAAAATATCACTACGCTTTAAAAAGCAAGAAATATTTTATTCTTACATTCATCTTTTTGTAAACGTAATGAATGGCCTGACATTAATTTTTCGCAGTTTATATTGTACATTGAACAACTATTGATAACCAAGTATCACTTTGAACATTGAACATTCCAATTGTTAAACATACACTCAAACTCTATCTACGCATGTAGGCAAGCTAACACATCGACAATCTTTTCTTCAAATCAATCGAGATAAGCTCTAGGCTAAACTGATCATACCAATATATATATATATATATATATATATATATATACTTTCATTTACAAAAATCAACACTAAACAAAATATTCATTTTTATAGAATGAACAAAAACGATAAGTTTTATATCATGAACAATATGATCTTTACATTTTAAGCATAATTTATAAATCACCTGGTAATCAAATAATAAATAGGTTTAAGTTATTTATATCTAAAATTTGCTTTCAATGTGTTTTAAACAAAAGTCGAATTTTCTTATCTTTTAGTGTTTAATGTTTTGCCCAAAAATAAGACCCAATACTTATCATAAGTATAAAGAGAACAGGTGTTGCAAGATTATGCGCGCATGTAAAAATATATATATATATATATATATATATATATATATATATATGTACGTATATACATTCAACAGAATGCTATATTTTTTTGTTTCTCTCATTAATGGTTAGTCAATGCAACATACTATTATTTCCTAAATGGAAAGAAAGTAACACTTAAAAATACAGAGCTTTTTTAAGACAACATTTTTGCAAGTGTTTTTTCTGTAAAAAGTAGTTAGCGCCAGTAATTTTTAATAAATCTATGAGTTATTTTGATGTGGATATCCAGGGTTGATTTTTGATCAGTTTTTGTTGGGATTTATATTCATTGTATAAATAATTTCAGTGCACCTTAAATCTGACCAACAAATAATCTTGAATATCAACGATGGGAAAATCTATATCTTCTTTAATAATGACGTCAACATCATACAAGTTAAGAGGGTGGTGACCTTTGAAATGAAAGATACTAGGTTCAGGCTAAATGGTTGATTGACAAAACCGAAGTTCAGCTATATTTTGCTGACAAGTTCGAGTTCTGGTGAGAAATGGTGGGCATTATAGTTCAGGTGTGAACCAGTCGTCACTGAAGACTATGGGTTGACTGAACTTAGAGTGAGAGCTCGGTGGTCTAAAGGTTGGGCATTGGCGCGCATGTCCGATGATCTTGGGTTCGAATCCTGTGACTAACTGGAGTTATGGATAGGTGATGCTGATGAGTTCCATACCAGGACGAAACGGTAGTTCAGTGCTCCCATGTTTTTAGTGGTGGTGGAACACTGATCAATGTACGATTTCGAAAAGCCCCATATAGTGCAAAATAAGCTTTCCAGATTCCATGTTCATACATAACTTATACAAAGTAATATAAAGTTAAATTCGCGTAATAATAAACTTAGAGTCGAAATATGCATTAGACAGTTTGTAGTTAAAGCGTGACAATATTTATATTAATTAAAATTGAAAAGACGTTTTTACAGTTGTAATAATTAACTATGTATATCTTACTGCAGTTGCATGTACATTATAAAGTGAGCTTATTCAAATGTGATAGAGACGATAATCTAGTTTAATCTGGCAATCCTCATATATTTTAACATTTAAATTGTTTGATCAATATGAAACAGACTGAATGTCATTAATTTAACTTAACAATTCATTTATGTTAAATTTGTAAGCGAATTCTTTGCTTTTTTATTATAAACTTACTTTTTGAGCTTCTCGTTTATCAGTTCGTTGATTTTGTTGATAGATCCTAGCAAAATGTGATACAATCACAGGGACTGGTAAAGCGATAACAAGTACACCTGAAAGTGAACAAACACCACCAACTATTTTGCCAATAATTGTAGTCGGTACAATATCTCCATATCTGTAGAGAATTAGAAGAAAAAAAAAACATAAGAATACTTGAATAAGTTTGAATTTCATTTGCTTTTAAAATAATTTCACATAATTTTTTTCCAGTCTGTAGTATAGAAAAATGAAAAAAAAGTCATTATTTAAGAGTCATAAAATTTTTTTGAACATAACATTCCAATTGAATGAAAAAGGATATTTTAAATCAATGAACAAGCATATGTTAAGGCAGCGAATTCAATGCTACACTGTATAACTTTGTAAACGGGCATGATAGTTGTAGGTCATGTCAATCAAACCTGATTTAGTGACACATGAAAAAACGATTACAATAATTATCAAAGTAGTATTTTGATAATGGGTCATATCGTCTGTAGTAATCAATTAATCAATTAACGCTTTGAATAATATCCTAATAAGATTTTGACTACGTGAATGTTGAATCAATGTAGAGTAACAACGTTGATAAACTGGTTGAAATATGTTATGTTAATACATGAATATATGTTAACCCATCATGTTTAAGTAAGTAAACATATTTTCCAGACTGTTCTGGCTACTAATGATAACAGGATTTTTTCATCATTATGATAATGAACTTAAATTATAATTTTCAATTTTCAATCACATTTCAAAATGTGATTTGTTTTACTAATTGTACTGCAATTTAATATATCTATTTTGTTTACTACATCAAAACTAAAAAAAACTGATTGAAGTACATTAGATGATTATACTTTAAAGTTGAACAACTATAGTTCATTTTTTCAAGTATTATTGACTATTAATTAGAATTATCTTTTCTATGAAGTTTTCTCATTCAAAGTTTCAGATTACATAAATGATTAGAATATTAACAGATTAGTTGTTCGTTAGTGAGTATATATGCATTTTCATTTCGATGAACATGTTGTTCTGCAATCTGGACAGTTTAATCGTGCACAAACTTCAAGCAAATGTCAAGATTTTTGCCTGGCCTATTCATTTCACAGAACAAAAATCGCGAAGGAAATCATGTACCTGAATAATAAATCTTCCCAACCATTTCAGTGTTCACTTTGAATGATCTAAACACTGACTCATGAACATAGTGATCAAACTATTTTTAATGAATTTGCAATAATATAAATGCTACATTGATAACCATGATTGATAGGCATCATAAATTATTTTTGAAGTCAAAATGATGATAAAATTATGCAAGTATCTTATCATTGACACATAAATTGTTCTAGGATAAGGTCAAGTAAAAATTCTGATAGCTTTTAAAATATTAAAATAAATAGAATTGCTAGTGAAAGTAAACTTTATCGATAATCTTGAATGAATATTTAGCTGATGAAAATGTAGATGATACGACGGAATGCGTTCTGGTGAAAAGCCCAGAAAATGCAAAGTCTACATGATGAATTAATTTACTAAGGTTTGTCAAAACTTCTTCAGTATTAAAATCATTGTAAATGTCATATTATTTCTCATACACAGTTAATGTCTTTGTAAAGTCAGAGATAGTTTATTATTCAAGACCATAGTGCTTAACCATTATTAGTGAAGAGATCTGATAAGACTAGTTATATTGTCGATAAATTAATTCTTACGATGACTTGATGACCATTGCCTTTAAGTTCCTCAGTTGTCTCTTGATATAGTTACAATTTTAGTAAGACCTTGATTTTAGGGAAACTTGAGCCACTACGAAAAACACTTTTGATCATACTTTGAATTACACGGAGTACTCTGAACTAGCATTCCAAATTCAATGTGCTGCAGCAGTCAGCTTATCCGTTAAACAATGTTATGATTATTTTGTGGTTACTTAGTAGATATATTTATCGATTTAAATCTTCCAAAACAATTTAAAATAACAACAATTTTTCTAAGTTTCGAACGATTTACAGTCAAAATAAAATGCAGTTTTGAATTTGGGTTAAATTAAGAGTTATTTTCTTAAAACTAGTATAGTCGTAAAATATTTCATTTGAAGAGACATTTTTGAAAAAAAAACAAAGATAAATGAACTCTCATTTGATGCTAAAATGTTTGAATCACTCATTCACAAACTGTATTAAATTAAACCACACATTGGATTTACTATGAATCGTCAATCAAGATAAGAAAAAATCTTTGTTGATGCTTTCTCATAATGCAAAGCAAATTTCTAACATCAAACGATATTGATTATTGAATGATTGTGTACTGAATTCAACAGTTGATAAGATAAAACACTGAATGTTTTAATACTGTTGAATGAGATCAGAGCAATTAGAAAAATAATATTCTTTTAGTAACATTATGAATGAACGGTAATTTGTGTTATGCTTGCTTACTTAGGAAAAATATCACTACGATTATCATTAGGCATCTAAATGTGAAAATACGTAATAAATACTTGTACGGCACACAGTTTGAATGCAGCTATCAATTAGAATTTTATTAATAATAAATATTATGAATGATAATTACATGACTGTAGAAACAACAATTAATGCTTTGCATAAAGACTAATTAAAAATGTTACGACTTATGCTAATGATATATGCCCTTTCAAATCGGTAAACGCAAAACTATTTGTTGTCACTGCCTATGACAACCATTTGAAAAAATATAAAAAGAATACTGTGAACAAACACTTATTACTTGATTCACGAATATCCATCAACATTGATGTGACAACATGTTCAATCTAAAATTTCAAAGGTGAATATTTAGAAAAATATAGAAAATCAATAATCTTGTACAACACCATGTTAACATTCTTTTGTCAAAAGGTTTACTGTATATCAGTAAAGGATAGATTTGCGCTTTCATACACAAAGTTCAGGTTTCATCTTATGGACAGTGGGGGATTTTATTATTTTAAGTGATTGAATATGAAGAGATGTGAATAGATTTCTCTGACTAATATGTAATCAAAAACTAACTTTTTTTAATTAAATAAATGTTTTACATTATTTTCTTAGATGAAACAGCAAAGTCTAATAGTCATTTATTTAATTTTAAAATATCATTCATGATTGTATGATGAACTGTATTTATCGGTGGAATTCAGAATGCATGTTTCGTCCTAGTGAGTGCTGGCAAACTGAATATACCTACATCCGAGTGTTGATATTTATATTGTGATTCAGACTGGTTATTTTCCATTTCAAACGTGTTGTCCAACTACTTACTGATTCCAGATAACCACAAAATCTTACATTTCAAGCAGTACATTAACATTAAATATGTTTATTAATTACACCAAAATAAAGTATATAAGTCAAGAGTTTAATCAGGTAAACTCCCTTTCAAAAATATTACATTTATTGAGTTTCGACTGTACAAAAGAGAGAGAATAACAATACGTAAATGTAACTTTATTGTTATTATTAATTCTTCGCATAAATTCATTACATACAGCAAACATCATAACTCATGAATATATAAACAGTATACAAGATTGAAATTCATTGGCGAGACACTATCAGCAACAACTTACTGTGGGAGAGAACAAATCAGATTCCAGTGGAGGAGGAAATCAAGAAGAAGCGATGGAAGTGAATAGGACACACACTATGAAAAGCACCTAACTGCGTCACAAGACAAACCCTCACTTGAAACCCTCAAGGCAAAAGGAAAAGAGGAAGGCCAAGGAACACAATACGCCGAGAAATAGAGAAAAATATGAGAAGAATGAACAAAAACTGGAAAGAACTGGAAAGGGAAGCTCAGGACAGAGTTGGTTGGAGAAAACTGGTGGGCGGCCTATGCTCCATTGGGGGTAACAGTCGTAAGCAAGTAAGTAAGTAATACAAGATTGAAGTAAAACCTCGGATTCAACATTTTTTTTGTAGACATCGTCTTAATTTCACTAAAATTCGTATAAAAGCTATGGTTTAATTAAAGTCTAACAATTTCTAAATTGTCCTTAGATTAATTTTTTTTTCTTACTAACGTCTATATTTACACTTTGTGAGAGAGTAGAAAACGAAGGAAACTGTCTATTAATACAATATGCAATATCTTAATAAGTTAAGATAATCTAAACAAAAAACTACAGACAAATTATCTAAAATGAATTAACTTATTGCAATAAAATGTCAATTAATCTTAATTATTAGATAACAGCAAAAGATAAACTTGCATATCACTTTATTTAATGATGTGTAAATCACATATCGGATTTTTCACAGATGAATATAAAAAATAATTTAAAGAAACTGTTTCTCATATGATAATAATTAAAATTAGTTTTAAAAGTGTATTTTTTTTATACTTGTGATTAATTTTGTACTTTATATTGAGCAAAAAAAAATATTGTACAGTTAATTATGATAATGTTTATATTTTATAACTAGGTAAAAGATTTTCTTTATTATGTGTTTTGCTTAACTCTCAAAAGTATATGAGATGTTTTGTTTATGAGTACAGTGGGGAAACAAACAAGGGGATACTTTTACACGTGAAGTATACAAGTTACAAAAATTAAATGCATCTAGTTAAAAAAGTTAATATTGATTTTAAATCAAGAAAACAAGATGACTCAAAAAAATTTTCATAAAAATATAAAAACAAAATCTGCCTATAAATACAATAATTAACATTTATCATGTTTACTGGCTATCAGCTCATACTTCAGGTGATAATTACTCCTCATTATTTTGAACATTTGAATTTCAAGTGTACAATTAAACTAAATGCTTAATTATATCCTAAAAATGCTTTAGTCAATAATTATCAGTGGTAAACATAAGAAATAAATAAGTGTTTACTGGCTAATGACACGTGTTTTAACATAATTAATAATTTAATTAGTAAATTAAATAAATAAATAATAAATATTTTTGTCATTCTCTCAATGAATTTACACGTAAGTTTGCCATCAGTCATAAAAGAAACAACACAATTGAGAAATTAAATTCAATGTACAATGTTTGTGATAAACACTTGATAATTTTCTTTTGTTTTTTCATTTCATAAAGTTTATGATTTATACAAATGGAAATATGCCATTTTTGAATAATTCAAAATAGG